GTATAGTATATATATATATATTATATATATATATATATATATATATATATTATATATATACATATATACATATATACATATATATATTATATATATATATATATATATGCATGTATGTATGTATATGTATAAGTCATAATATATCTGTATATACACTTTTTTTGGTTACATCTCCTTCACTGCATACTTCATACCCATCTCCTTTATATCCTCTGAACCCACCCACAGGCCATGTTAGTTGAGCGGTTTACCACCTACCACCGCAGGAGCTATGTCTGCAAGGCAGGTGTAGGAGACGTTCTGATTGGTGCAGCGGCCTCCATAGCTGACATGAACGGTGTTCCTAAAGTGTCACATATCAAGGTACTAGAGTTATTATAGGGTTTTATGTTTCAATTGATGCTCGTGTGTGTTTTAGGTTTTAATTGATGCTCGGGTGTGTATGTGAGGTGTGTATGTGAGTGCATATGTGTGTATGTGAGGTGTATTTTCTTGACATAGATTGTGTATAAGTGAGTGTGGTTAGAAAAACCATCTCAATGCATTTGTCGTATGTGCGGGTGGTAGTCTTCGGTGTATGTGAATAAGGAAGTTATACGTTATCCGCATAGGGCAAGCACTGATACTTGCTATTCCGGTTTAGGTGGATATGGAAGTTACTATGTATGTCGCTATGTATGTTACTATGTAAGTTGCTATGTATGTTGCTATGTATGTTATATGGTGTCCACATAGAGCAAGCACTCTTGTATCTCGGCTGCTGGTGTCAACACTGTGCGTGATAAAGTACTCGGCATCGTCCAAGAAGTACTCGGCATCGTCCAAGAAGTACTCGGCATCGTCCAAGCATATGAACGAGTCTCTGTATAGTATTCATAATGTTACAATTTTTAAACCACTTCCTGACCCTAAAACCCTAAAACAGCTCATCATCCAATATATGGGGAGGTTTGTTGCCTGTGGAGTGTCTATAACCTTACGATATCTTTTGTATTACAATTGTACGATTTAAAGCGGTAGTGCGAACACTACGCTTAAAAAGTACATACCACACACCTTTACTTGTGGCCTTGGCTATGGAGTTAACCATACGAAATCAAAGGCACTCTGTCGCGAATCACAAAAAGATGATGTATTCAAGTTCATGTGTACAAGAATACATAATATATATATAGATATATATATATATATATATATAAATAGATATATATTAATTTATATTATTATATATATAATATTTATAATATTTATAATATTTATACATGTATCTGCACATCATATACGATATACTATACCCCTGCTTACAGGACAAGCTCGTGGAGATGACGCACATGAACGAAACCATCTATGCCACTGGCATTGCTGCATCTCATCAGGGCTATGCTACGGCCTCGGGCGCGTATATCGCCGACGACATGCTTGCTAACGTCTGCAAAGTGTGTGTTTCGCAGTGTGTGTTTCGTTGTGTGTATAAGTGTGTGTTTAAGTTGTGTGAGAATGTATTCCAGAAGTGTCTTTGGTAATGTGTTTGAAGGTGCGTGTGTGGTGACGGTATGAGTATTCTTACATGGGTGTGTTGTATTGTGTGCTTTGTGTATGTGTTGGGGGGAGATGTATTGGGCTGTGGATAAGACTCAATCCTAGTAGCAGTCCAAAGTCGTACTATGAGGGTGTTCTGTTTTCCAATTGGGACAAGTCAATTTGTTTGTATATTAAATAGGTGCGGTTCTGGGTGCGAATTACGTGCTGGTTCTGTATATTGAGCGTGTTCCATGAAGGTAGATGGCTCTACCTGTTGGTTATATGCGTGGGTCTTTTGAGTGTGCATGCCGCGATTTTCTTAGATATCAATTGATTGGCAGCTAAAGATGTGTATTTATAGCGTACATCCATTAATATTCATTGAATGGGAAATATAACTACGTATATTACCACCTATATACATATATATGCTTGGAATGGCAGATATATATATATATGTATATTACCACCTCCTTACATATATATGCATTGAATGGCAGATATATATATATATATTGCCACCTCCGTACATATATATCTACTGAATGGCAAATATAGATATGTATATTGCCACCTACATACATATATATCTATTGAATGGCAGTTAAAGATATGTATATTACCACTT